TGGATGGATGGATGGATGGATAAATGGATAGAAAGATCCTTTATTCAAGCATCAATAAGTTCTCTTTTTCTTCTGATAAAAAAGGTGCTAAACCAAGTCTACACAGCAAACTAACCATTGGCAAGGCACATTATATTTTATTAACAATGCATGTATACCTCKCCATTCTTGTCAACCTCCTCCCACTGTTCATCCTCATCTAATGACTTCGTACATCTGACTTGTTTAAGAACATCTCTGTAGACTTTACAAAACTGGTGGAGATCCAGAACCTTCCTGGTCTTAATAATACCACTTGCTTTCTCTATCTGTTAGTTAAATCACACTTTAGGTAAATTTTAAGCCAGTCATCGATGAAAGCTTCTGAAAGACTCGTTATGATTTGTTATCAAGATGGCTCRAGCTGTGTTATACTATAATTGTTACAAAACTCACATTCTGATTGGTTGGGAGCAARTGCATCATAAGAGCATACAGCATACACATGAGAAGCACTCTGATATGCATCATACTTTCCCTAACAATTCTTTCATGTTCTGCCAGTCCCCACATGCTTTATAACTGCATACAGCATGCACACTCATTTTCTATTTCTTTGATAGAAAGATCTCTTCACGTCTCAGACTCCTCTTAGTTACTGTTGCTATAGCCCATGAGCTCAAAAGTTTGCTGAGAATATTACAGAACTTAAATCTCTGATTGCTGGAGATTGATTCTAATTTGTTTAATTTTTTTAGCGAAAAAACAAACCTTGAAACAGTAAATCCTAACTGTTGCTTTCCATAAATAATTATGGTCAGATAGCTCCTTCACGGTAAAGAGGATTTGGTGTATGCTGTCATCAGAGAAATTCTGCAAACTGAAACAAATATTGAAATATTTATGATTACTATTTAAAGTAGGAGTAAGCAGTAGTAAGTAGGGGATACAGGGATGGCAGAGCACCTTTTAAAGTATGGAGAGGGGGTAAGGAGCACTTTTTAAGGTGTGGAGAGGGGGTAAGGAGCACTTTTTAATTTGGGGAGGAGTGCCTTAATCTCTTTTTCCCATGACGGAATACATACTAAGACATACGATGTTAATTATAAAGAAACTTGTGCAAAAAATGAAAAGAAAAAAACAATTTTTCCTTACACTTTGTTGATGTGTTTCACTGTGTCTGAAGAGAATAAGAAAAAATCAAGTTAGTGATAGATGTATATCCATAAAAAAAACATGAAATATCTCRAAATATCTATATTCTATGCATGCATATAAATATATAGAAGATATAACTAGCTAAAAACTAGTGTGAGCTGCATCGGTGTTTCTAATGAAACAGTAATGATAAAAAGGTAAATTATACACCGTGAAAAGATGAAAAAACTGACGTTTCAGACGCTAGTCCTTCATCGGAGTAAAAGAAGGACTAACGTCCTAACATCTTTTCACAGTGTATAATTTACCTTTTTATCATTACTATATAAATATATAATTTAGTCTCAAATACATGTTGATTTTTGCAGAGGAAGGGCAACTGGTATGACACAATGTTAATTTTCATATGGGCTATTTATTTTTTACTAGGGAGGGGTCATTCAGGTGGGACTTCTCTTGGGGGAGGGGAGGTACATGAAAAGGCAGCTCAAGAGGGTTGACACAGTCACACAGCACTTTTATAATAAACAGTGTAGGAAAACGATTTTGTTGAACCATAGAGGGTGGATCTGGTATTTTTATGGATTACCAAGCAAATTTCACCACCCCCTTCCCCATAAAAAATTAACAGTCCCTTAACTGTAAACTCAGTCAAATAAGAGATAAAAGTCTAATAAGCTTATTATCAGTCTTTTAACAAAAAGAAAAAAATATAAGAAAACGAAAATACTCGGTAGTCTTGGAATGCCCTTAACTTCGTATTTCTCGTACGAAGAAATAGAATATTCGCGTCTTTAAGCTAAAAGATCAAAGCCAGTACATCATTGAGGATTAAATCATAAAATATAAAAAAAAAAACATGACATCATTTACCAAGAAGACCAACATGGCTTAGAACAGCTAAATCTCGAAGCACCAAAGCATGATCTTGAAGAATCTTCGTCGCAAAACTATACTGCTGTCCCATTACTTCACAACTGGCTCATTCAACTAGGATCGGACATTTTATAACCTTTAAAAAGCGATATTTTTTCCTGTTTTGTGTTTCTAGCTTGGTGTTTAGTTTTCGACTCGAGTTCAGCTATCTGAGCCTGCAGTGTTCAGCAGTTACAAGCTTTATAGCATGCGGCGTTAACCACAGGAAGCCCAATGCCAATAATCTTTCGAACATCCGATCATCAACAAGATCATGAACAGGTTACCATCTTGATTCCACTAGTACATCGTTGTAAGCCTTTAGGGGTCATTCAAGCATGCCCCACTTAAAACTAAGACTGTGGTTAACAGACAGCGTGTTCCCTGGTTTAATTGTGACATCAAAAATGCAATAAGATACAGACGAAAAGCGGAAAGAAAGTGGCGCTCTTCTAAGTCTTTAATAGACTATCAGGCTTTCAAAACAGCACGTAATTATGCAACACACGTCATGAACGGTGCACGCCGTGAGTATTACACCCAGCTAATAGAGGAGAACAGTCAGACCAAAGGAAACTTTTCCAAACTGTGAGAACTCTCTTATGTGACTCTTCTGAAGTGTTATTTCCAGATGAGACACCCCCTGATGTTCTTGCTGCTAACTTTGGCAACTACTTCATTCAAAAGATTGATACAATCACTAGTTCTCTGCGTAGCTGTGACGGTATAACCATCAATGATCACCTTATTGATACTCACGAGGAGTTTGATGGAGAGCCACTCACTGCCTTTGAGCCAATCACGACAGACCAGCTTGCTCAGCTCATTAGAAACGCTCCTCAAAAGTCATGCCCTCTGGATCCTCTGCCTACATCTGTGCTACTCCAGGTGTTAGATGTTCTTTTGCCAGTAATCACCAGATTGATAAATTTATCTCTTCTATCTGGAACCTTTCCATCTGACTGGAAGCTCGCACTCGTACGGCCTCTACTTAAACCTGGCAAGCATGAAGTGGAATTCAAGAATTTTCGTCCGGTAAGCAATTTACGATACGTTTCCAAGCTAACTGAGTCAGTCGCATGTAACCAAATGAAAAATCACATAGCTAAAAATGGACTGCACCTGAAGCTCCAGTCTGCATACAAACAGCACCATAGTACTGAATCTGCTCTCATAAAAGTGAAGAATGACATACTGATGTATATGGAAGAACAAAAGGTCACACTCTTAGTRCTATTAGACTTAAGTGCAGCATTTGATACAGTACAACATCATGTTCTTTTACATCGATTGATGTSAAGGTTTGGAGTAGTAGAAGATGCATTGAAATGGTTCACCTCGTATCTAACTAACAGATGTCAACGTATTGCTGTTAACGGAGGAATCTCAGATATCTTCGAAATCAAACATGGGTACCACAGGCAGCTGTCTTGGACCTCTCTTGTTCACAATATACACAAGCAAGCTGTTTGATATAGTGGAAAAACACCTTCCAAACGTTCACTGTTATGCTGACGATACGTAATTATATCTGGCTTTCACACCAGGTGAGGACGACAACGCAATCAATGCAATGCGTAGCTGCATCGATGACCTTCGTACCTGGATGGCTAACGATCATTTAAAGTTGAACGAGGATAAGACAGAGTTTCTATTAATTGGAACTAAACAGCAACTTTCAAAAGTTAACATCAACCGTATTACTGTAGGTAATGAAGTAATCAATTCTAAATCGTGCGTAAGAAACTTAGACGCGTGGTTTGATTCAACGCTAAGTATGTCTGCTCATATAAACAAGACCTGCGGCGCAGCTTTCTACCATCTACATAATATAAGTCGAATACGCAAGTTCTTAAGCAAAGATGATGCTATTACGCTTATTCATGCTTTTATAACATCACGTCTTGATTACTGCAACGGCCTATTGTATGGTCTTCCAGCGTGCCAGCTTAATAAAATGCAGCGCGTTTTTAACGCTGCCGCGAGACTTATTTGTTGCGCACCTCGTTATTGTCACATTACACCACTATTAGTTGATCTGCACTGGCTACCAGTGAAAGAACGTACGCTATTTAAGATATTGCTATTTGTTTTCAAAGCTATTAATGGTATCGCACCTGATTACATATCTGAGCTTATATCTAGCAACATAAAGGATAAGGGGAGTTATAACTTAAGATCTAGTAAAGGTTTATTACTTGCCCCATTTAATCGCAAGACCAGGAAAACATTGGGGGACAGGTCATTTGCTGTGGCGGCACCCGTTCTCTAGAACGCACTTCCCGCAGACCTTCGCGCCATTAAAGATGTTAGTTTGTTTAAGCGCCATCTTAAGACCCACCTTTTTAAATTAGCATTTTGATAGTTTTTTTAGTATTCATCAATATATTTATTCATCTTATTTGTAAATAGTTATATAGCTATATATATATTATATTATTATTGTAATGCGCGCATGATCATTGTATGGAAGGCGCGCACAATAAGTGATTAAATTATTATTATTATTATCATTATATTTTGCTAAGACATGGCACAGTGGTGCTAAACGGCCGCAGTCTTGTTGCTGAAGTAAACAGTCATGACGTATTTCCGGATCCAACTTGCATAGAAACTGCGGAAATATTGATTTTTTWAAATGTACAAAACGTATCCAGCTCATCCTGCAGCGAAAATACTTTCAATGACAAATTCTACTGTGTAGAAAACTGCAGGACAAAGCTGTACGTGCTAAACCTTTTAGTTTGAACCCGGAAGTAAATTCATTTAGCCCGCGAATGACGTCACTCTATACAGAACAATGAATTACCAAAAAAGGTAAGATGGMGTGATGTTGATACAACTGCAGCTTTCACTTTTTCTCGCGTCCTTTTCCAGAAAGTCCAATCAAGAATGGGTGTTGTTCGCTATTTCTTTCGATATTTCTTGCCCTAGAACTTTGAAAGTGATCTAATTATAACTTAACTATCTTAAGGCCGTCGACAGACAAAGTTTGGGGAGTTTTTAAGCATAGTTAAGAACCACGGTTAGATCCATGTTGCTTTGGTGGACTGATGTCGGACTGATAAAATAGCTCAATCGATGCTCAAGTCAAAAAGGACAAGAAGTGGATCATAGTCTTACTCTTTCAGGTAAGACAGTTATGACTTTCAGAAAATAAAAAACTTTTTCGTTTGCTTTTTTTATTTGACGATCATGCCTGATAAGAATTTTTTCATTATTTCTCCAACCAAGCCAAAAACTTTTTTCTGTTTTTTGTTTTTGTTTTTGTTCGTTTGCCCAAATTCCAAGAATTAGGTCCCGTCCACACTATGCCGGATAAATTTGAATCCGAATTTTTATTTATTCGGTTCCATTTCGAAAATTCGTTTTCGGTGAAGAATTGTTCCGGATTCGCCCGGACTGGTGTGGACGGTATAGTAGGCCTAACCGAATAAATAAAAATTCGGATTCCAATTTATCCGGCATAGTGTGGACGGGGCCTTAAATGGAAAGGGATTTTTAGGACGGCCCCTAAGGACATCTGCAAACTGAGGAGGCTGCTCAGAGGTGAGAGGCGAGCGTTTTACCAAGTAGAGTTAAAGTATCAAATGGTTAAATCAGTGCTAAAGTTCCTTATAATTAGTACAGATATAACGCAACCCAAGTTAGTTAAAGTTAGTTTGCTTCAAGGCAACCTTAGAATGCAGTTTTACAGACAACTTTGTGATTGACGGTGGGGTCAAGCATCAAACAAATAGACAAACATTCTGACATAAGAGGAAATTTGATGCTCTGATTGGCTAGCGGTAGCTAATGAAAGCGTTCTAAAAATAAATAATTCTGAGAAAACAAGACCCTGTAGTGGAGCAGGGTAGACTGTGATACCTGTGTGAGACAGTTTACGGCTTAGTCTCATCATTTTTCAAGAATCTGAGGTAATGTTAAATTAAGTAGCTAAGTTTCTAAAGACAGTGTACAATGAAAGCCATTTAGGTTAAAACGTTTATATATGCTACCATACGATGAAAGTCATTAACAATCTTAATTTCAATTCCAGTCCGACTTTTAGCATACGAGTATTTATGTAAGCCTGGTTCATACGAGCAACGCAAAAGCAAGGAATGTTCACATGTGCAACGCAAATGCAAGTAAATTAGGTTACGCATTCGCAGTAGTGCTTGTTTATAGTTCACACTTATTTCCTTGCGTTTGCGTTTACGTTGCTCGTGTGAACCAGGCACTTTCACTTCCGCCTCGACAGAAGAGAAACGTTTGCTTGTCGTAAACCTGGGTATTCTTTCCAAAGAGCAGCGTTAGATGTAGCCGTTAGATGTAACTTTCTTTTAAGGTTTCTTTGTGCGTATTTTTATAAGGTAAATCACTTTGCTCTTCAGTCAAAGAGGAGGTTGAACAGAACGCATGTGCATGTCATGGAGATGATCGTCAAACAAGTCGTCGTTTGCTAAACGTTTTTGGGTCCAAGGATAATCAAGAATTAGATTAGATCCTTCTTCGCCGGTAAGTGGGAATAAGTCATGCCGGTTATATATTTAAATTTTTTTGAAAGGCACTGTCGAAAGAGCCACATCTAATCTCGTCACTTCACGCTTTCGTTTAGGGCAAACCACCTCCCTTGGTAAACACGGCAAAATACAGTATATAGAAATCGAAAGCACTTTGACTTTCCGTAACTCCGCTCAACTTCGTTGAATTTTCAAAATTTAAACTTTTTTGAAAATAAATTTTCTTTGTTATTTATTACCCTTAACACTATGGATATTGGAAATGGCTACAAATCGAGAAAATAAGTTTTTCTAAGTGTCTAGATAAGGGCACCCGGGATCGATTTTTTAAAATCCTAGATACCCGGCAGCTTTTGATTTTCACGAAAAATCACATATAATAATAACTGTCAGGGATTCAAAGTCTTCTAACTTTGTTTAGAATAGGAAACCTTAATACCCTATTCACACCGAGGCTTAAACATGTTTTAACTAGTGGTTTAACTAAACAGGTTTGAAAAACTATCTACGAACACTGCACAATATTTGGTGAAATAATGTATGTAAACTATCCTTTGTCTTGCTCTAATAATATTTTACAAAGTTTCATTATATTTTAGGTTTCTAGTTTCTCAATTTTTTTCCTAATGAAAACATAGTTTAACTAAACACGTTTATGTGTGAATTCGGTATTAGACATTTGAGAGATACACATTCCCCGAGGTTCGGCGGCATATTAAGAGTAAAAACTCGCGAGTATAAAAACCTGTTAGCCTCAAATTTGTCATTTCAACCCCCCTAAGCGAGAACCTATTTAGCCTAAGAAATGAAAATTGCTGTGGGGTTGATTGAAAAATAGGCTGATTACCATTTTATCTTGTAGCTGGGTTTTATTTGTTTTTACATAAATAAGAACCTAGATAGCCTAAAGTTGTGTTAACCACCATTTAACAAGAACCTGTTTAGGCTAACTCTAAAATATGTAGGTTCTTACTTGCGGGTTCTTACTGTATAGCAGACGATGTCAAGTTGTGAGCTGACGGGAACCATTCTCAAAATACTAGATACCCGGCAGCTTTTGATTTTCATGAAAAATAACTGCATATTTGCTTTGGGTTCCTGTGTGCTAACCAGGTTTTGTTCCATCTCTCTCGACCCCAGGGTCCTGCATGTCATTCTTACTGCGCATGCTCGACAAAATGCCAGAGACTCTCGTGAGCTGTGATTGGTTAGAATATTTCTTGAAATAATTGATTCGAAACCCACACTAGCAATCACAAGGGCCCTTGCAATAAATGATAACAAATGCTTTGAAAATGGATGAAATGGCAAGTCAGCTGTAATTAGCTGCAATAAGTGAATTTTGTTACAGAGAAAAATTAAAAAAAAAAAGTTGATTAAGGAAGCACTTAGCTATAGTTTGAATTTGAAGATACACAGTATTAACCAGGGCCTGCAAGTTGCACGTAGGGTAGATAGTACTATTCGATGGATAAATCTTATCCAGTGGATAAAAATTTATTGGAAAACAGCATCGATTAGCGCTATCCATTCATCATTATACGCCGTCTGGGCCAATATTAAGCCGGATTGCTGGCTACTATGTGCTAGGGCTGCTCAGAGTCTCGGTTTTTTTTTCATTTATGCGCATGCACAGTAAGAATAACAGGACTTTGGTGTTGAAAATGGTGATGCATTAACATTGGAATCCCAGTGGAATGGCATAAAGCTATTTTATTCGTACTAATTTTCGCGGGCACTTATTTCGCGTAAAAGATACAGATTTAGTAAACCGTTTTGAAATTATTTATTGCATTATGATTTAAATAACAATTACCGTATATACCTATAACCCAGTTACTTATTGATTTATACAATTATAGAAGTGTATAAAACTACGCGTGTTTTAGTTTTTTGCGTAAACTTTTTTTCGCGGGTCTTTAATAGACCCGTTTCGAATTCAAAAATACTGCTGTGTTACTTGATTATAGACTTATTTGCTGAGGGTTAGCCTCGAGTTTGTGTAGAATATTCACGTGTTCCAGTCAAGGCCCGTCGAGTTATTGTATTGTTGAAGTTGAGCATTCTTTACTTTACCGTTGGTATTTGTGAATATTTAGACACTGATACGAGGTTAACCTTGAGTGAATGAGTCTGTAATCGAGGAACACAGCGGTAATTTGGAATTCGAAACTGGTCTATTTCGCGATTTTTTACGAATCGAGAAGATCGCGAAATTAAATCGTGAAAATTAGTTCGAATAAGGTATAGAACAGTCCATGTCTAGTAAAGCTGGATGAGAGCCATAATAATCTTTAAATAATTTTTTTTTTTTTGCACTGCGCTTGTATTTGTAGGTTGGAATTTACTTCTTTAAACCATAATTTCTTGTCAAGACTGCTCAGCTGACCGGCAAAATTCCTTGGAATGATTGTTTGACATAGAATGACATGAGAAATGCATGGACGTAATCCATAGCTTTAATAAGAATATTAAATACTCAACTGGATACTAGTCAAGAGATAAACTCTAAAGGGAATGTAGATGCCAGAGATTTGTCCAAGTAAAGTAAGGCATATTCAATTTGGGCCAAAACTGCTCTGTTTCATGCTGTACATTTTTCACCATGGCTGAAATTTGTGAGTCGATTTTCATTGATGAAGAATTTATTTTGGATGAAATTGATGGAACAGCTGCTTTGTTATATGCTGCTAAACATAACTACCAAAGGATAGTATTGAAATTAAAAGGTAGAGGGTTTGACCT